GTATAATGTAAAAAGTTGTACAAACTGTAACAATATGTTCAAATAAACAGACTTGAGGCATGACCTCACCTTAACTCAAAAAAAAAAAAAAAAAAAATATAAAAAAATACTTTTAGCTTAACAAAATATTATAAAAATTGCTGTAACCTTTGTTACTAAAACCTTTCTTGTTAATTCTAACATAAATAAAATATTAATTGTATCTAAAAAACTTTTACTTAAGTATCCAAATATTAGTATTGTGAATAGTTTAAACACTAAATAAATAAATTTGTTATAGTAAACAAACAAAATATTGCAATTATTTTGTATAAATCGTTGCTTCTAAAAATATAAAATTATGTCATTATTACCATCTTCAGAAGGCTACTTTACAAGCTGTGATGATCTTATCCAATATGCTTAAACGCATGCCTTCAGTTACAGGTATGTGATAACCATTAAAAGATCTGAACTAGAAAAGTTTGTTTATTTACAGTGCAACAGAAATGGCCAATATATTAACAGATTAAACCTAAATGATGAGATCTGCCAGAGAGATACAAGTACATGATTAATAGGCTGCTCTTTTGAGCTCTATGAAAAAAAAATAGATGATAGTCAATGGTGTTTAACAGTAAAAAATGCAAATTATAATCATAAAGCATCAGAAAACATTTCAGGCCATCCATTTAGTCATCAGTTGAATGAAGAAGATTAACAAAAAGTTCAGAAAATGTTTACATTAGGTATACATCCTCGAGAGATATTCTCTACTCTCTGTCAAAGCAATTCAAATAACTTAATGATTTCAAAAACTTTTATAATGCTCAGGATAAGATTCAATATGATAACCTTCAAGGTCATGTACCAATTCAAGCCCTTCTTGATGAGCTTGTAGAAAAAAATATTAAACATAATTATTAATATAATCAAGATAGAAATTTAATGCATCTTTTTTTTGCATATCCAACATTAATTGTACTTACCAAGATATATAACTCTGTTCTTTTAATAGATTGCATATATACAACTAATAAGTTTAAAATGCCACTACTTCACATCATTGACATGACAAGTTTTAACATCACATTCTCTTTTTGCTTTGCATTCTTGAAATCAGAGCAGGAAGAAGATTACAAATGAGCTCTTACTTGTGTTGCCTGTATTTTTGACGATGTTCCAAAACCTCAAGTTATTGTGACTAATCATAAATTAGTCTTAATAAATGCCACCAAAACAGTATTTCTGGAGTTACAAAATCTCTTGTATATTTGGCACATTGGAAAAAATGTGTTAGTTAATTGTCTTGTTATTTTCAAACAGATGATAAATAGTCAAAATTTATGGAAAGCTGGTCTATCCTTATAAAATCCAAAACTGAAATTGATTATATAAATAACTAGGAAAAGTTAGTAGAAAAATATAATGATAAACAAATAATTATTAAATATTTGAAAAAAACATGATTGTCATTTAAAACAAATTTTGTAAGCTGTTGGGCTAACTGTTATTTGCATTTAGGTATTTAAATTTTTTTGATTTTAGAATTTTTTTTAACACTTTTTTTTTTAGAGTTTGAAATCAGTTTATTTTTTATATATTAAACTTAGTTTTAATTAGGTTTAATATAAAATAAACTCAGTTCTAAACTTTATTAACCTCTTTGGCATTCTTCTTTTCTTCTATTTGATGTTTTTTTTTATGCTATTTTTAGTTTTTTTGTTCTTGGTTTTTAGTTTGTTCTAATATTTTTGGTACTGATTTTATAGGTAATACAATGACGTCTTGAGTAGAAGAGGCCCATGTGATGCTAAAGATATACCTTTAGGTGTCAATAGGTGATCTTCATATTGTCTATGAGAAAATTACTTTAGTGTTAGAAAATCAATATCAAGAGATTAAAACAAATCTTCTTAAGAGATAATTTGAATACTCCATGCACAAAACAAACCATTCTACATACAGGTTGTTTCCAAGGTGTCTACATTTGCATTAAAAAATGTTCATGACCAATTTTTAAAAGCATCTAATACAACACCAGAAAATCTACTATGACCTTGTAATGATACTTTTAAATTATCAATAGGTCTACCTTGTTCATATATAATTTGAGAACTTCTTGATAATAATAAATGTTTACAACTTGATGATTTTTATCAACATTGGTGAATCTAACAACACCAATTGTCTCAACAAGAACCACACAAAACTGAAGCTTCATTATGTCAAAAGTGAGAAGAGTATAGCCAAAAATTTAACTCTTTGCCACTTCATCAAAAAAGTACAGTTCTGGGTATAATGTCAAATATATTTCAAGAATTAACTATAATTGTACAAAATCCACAGATACAACCCACAAGAGGATGTCTGGTAGGTGCAAAAAACTGTCCTCAATTGTTTACTGAAAGAGATCTATCTATATTTAAGTTGATTATATCAACAAAATACAATAGGAAATGTGATATATATTGTGGGGTTGGGCATAATAGTAGAATATACCCTAATCTTGAAATTTTAGATGAAAGTCATAACAGAAGTTGTGGTATATGTCGTGAGACTGGGCACAATAGTAGGACATGCTCTAATATTAAAAGCTCATATAAAGAGAGTAATGAGAATAGTAATGAGAATAGTAATGAGGATAGTTAGGCTTAGTAATCTTTTTTTTTTTTAATCAGAAATTTTAATTATATTATTAACATACTGTTAAACAATGCCTAAAATAATTCTCCTCTAATAGAAATTAAAAAATTTTTTCTTTTTTTTTTATTATCGTTATACATTGTAATGCTTAATCGGTTATATGAAATAAAAACAATATTAGTTACTCATAAATACAATTAAAAATTATGCATAATTCATAAGATTCTATATATAATCTTCACAATAATTGTATATAAACACAGTGTTTTGTTTCAAATTCATAAATCCAGTAAATTGAATTGAAACTGAACTTATATAGTAGGTCCAGTGGTCCAGTCTATAAGAACAGTATTTCAGTTTATAAGTCCAGTACAAACTTTTAGTCCAGAGCCCAACATAATATACAATATATTGTACTAGCCATCCAATCTAAATTCCAATTAATTTGTTACAAATCTAATTTAAATTTGGTTTATAGCTTAAGTCATCTAAAAGTTTTATATTAAATAAAGTTTAATGAAAATTTGAAAAGATTTGAATTAGAGCTGTTTAGCATTACTAATTTAAAAAAAAAAAATTGTTATCCTATCAAACTAAATTTCAAGATCAAGAAGTGTAATCTAAAATTATCACAGTATATACTCAAACCCTAATACTAATGCTAATAGAAAAGTTTTTAAATTAGTAATGCTAAAATTTTAAATATAAGAAAATTTTTTAGGTTAGTAATGAATTTTACAGTATAATATATATATAAAGTGATAGTAGATGGTTTTAAGTTATAATCGAAATTTGATTAGACTAATCACGTATAGATTACTAAATACACATGAACACATGGATAATATGAATTATGCAGATTATGTGATCACATGATGAATCTAGAAACTTCTATTAATGACAGTTAATGTTAATCAGAGATTAATAGCAATCAATTTGTATCACATGATCTATCATGGTAGAAATAGCAATTTACCATGATAAAAATAGCAATTTCCTACATATATTATTAAATAATTATTATTATTATTTTTTATTAGGCTATGCAAACTTATATAATTAGTTCTTATAACCAGACGGGTTACTTTCTATAAAAATTAAATTTTTAATTTTTTTTTTATATATAATTAAATTTTTTGTCAATATACAAAAAAAAAAAATTTTTAAAAAGAATTTTATTTATGTAAAAATTTTTTATATATAAAATTTTTATGCAGTTTGTTGGGTCATTTTTTTTATTTTATATTATAAAAACTAAAAAATTAACTTTGTATAACTTTATAGATTATGAATAAGAATATTTTCATTATTGTGTTAATATTTTTTTTTGAGTTAGAGTTGTACTAAGCTACTATACATCAAAAAAAATCATGCTCTATATGTCATACTGCAGACATTTATATGTATATTTATAACAAATATACTCATATTAGTGTCAGCACTCACAAGCATAAACATAATTCTATGAACAAGATCAAATGTAATGTTTGTGAAAAACCAGGCCATAACAAATGAATCCATAGTTATCACTAAGCTTTTTTTAGGTTTTTTTTTTAAAAAATATGTTTATTAAAATATGTATTTTTGGGTATGATGATCTTAATAAATTTCTTTATACAAAACTTATTATTAGTAATAATACTGTACAATTAAGCTTTAAGAATATTTTTTTTAAAAAAATAAGTGCTATAATTAACTAACTTTTAAACAATATAATACTAAGATCTAATAATTTTTTTTTGCTTTTACTAAGGCTATTAGTTATCAATGTTTACTGCCTTTATTGATTTAATTATGATTACATAACTTGTACAAAATAAATGTACAACTAGCTACACATATAGCTTTTAACTATCTATTTAAATAGTTCATTTGCAGATTCTATACTAGCTGTTATATCTGTAATTTGCTAGAAGATTATCTAATTAAACATTTTGATTCTTATATTACATCTGACAAATAACATAAAGTTTCTGTATATTTAAGTCTAAATAGGACTGTCCTTATTATACAAACTGCAAGTTACTAATAAAAACATCTAAAATAAATTGACCAATGAAAATTGTAAATTTTAAAGTTAATTTAATTAATATTATTACATTAATATAATCATAATATTATTGCAATATATATTTTTAATAATAATTTTAATAAAAAAATTAGGCTTATTATATATAAATATAATCTCATAAAGAATTACAATTTTAAAAAAGATTTTTTTATATGCTTTAATAAATTCTTGGTTATATCATTATTTATATTGTCTACACTATTTAAATTATTTTTATCAGTATTTTTAATATTCTTTTTAATGAGTTCTTTTTTATTTAATTTTTTTAAACTACCTATAAGCATATCAAAATTTTTGTTAACTTTATTGTAAAGATACTCTAAGCATATCAAATATTTAAATTGGCATATTTGCAGGCAATAATTATGATAACTATGCTTATATACAAAAACAATGTCATTAATTAAATAGTTAGTATAATTACAATAAGTATAATTACAAAGAATAACAAAACTAGGCTTTTTATAAGTAACAAATTCTTGTAGAAGGTAATGATCAGTTATATCATAATCTAAAGTAACCAACTTATATATATAAACATTGTTAGATAAAATTGCAATAATTAAAAGATATTTATGCTAATTTTGATATATTTTTGTAAACTTATCAAAAAGTAATATAGCATATTTTCAAAAAGCATATTCAACTTCTTTGGCATATATAGATATTTTGTTAAATTGACAAAATGTTGTCAAAATTTATTATTTACTCAGTTCTAAAAAATAACATATGCCAATGTTTGCAGTTGCTAAGTCTTAAAAACCTTCAAAGTTTATCATCAAATAATGCTATAAATAAGTTTTACAGAACAATTACTTAAAGAGACAAGATTATTAATAATTATATTAATTATTAAATAATTAATTTTTATTCAATAAAAGACATCTAAAAAATATTAAAAAAAGCATGCTTATAGTTTCATCTATCAAATTAAAGAAAAAGCTAACTAGCAATATATGCAAGTTTCTTCATAAGCTGGCCAATCATCTCTCTGATAATGTACT